GTGATGTGGGGGAAATCTGGGCAGCCCTCCTGGAGAAGGAGGCAGAAACTTTAGCATGAGTGAAATCCCACAGGTGAGAAATTTGGAGACTACAACGGGGAGGAAGACGAGACGGGGAGCAGTGTGGCCTCAGGGGAAACGCCACCTCCCCCTTTTTAACTTGCTAATTCCAGTTTGCTGTGAATTTAGAAGCCAGATATCAGGGATGTTACGTTAGAGCCGTGTGTACAGCAGGAGGGCGTAAACGACTTCAGAGCGAGCATCAGAGAGAGGAAGGCAGGAACGGAGGGCAAGGTTTGGGCCTCTCAGAAGCAGCTCTCTGTGCCAGGTCAGCTTGGCAGTGTGCCCGGCCGGGGAGGTACAAGCGAACACCTGTCCCCACACAGAATCCAGGAACTAGGCACACAGGGACAGAAAGAAGTTCTACGCGCGGCGACAAGGGCCCGCTGTGGTCCCTGCACTGCCATTAGATCCCAGCCCGCCCGCCTTCACCCCAGCTACCACCCTTTGGCCCGGGGCCTTAATTCGGGTGCTAAGGTTGGAGCGAGGAGGGAGTGCCCTCAGCTGACTCTCCTTAGAGCCGAGCCACACGCACACATTCCGGGGCTAGATCCTAACCGGGGGCTCCTCCGGCCAGCATCGGAGGGGAGTCGAGGAAGAGCCAGAACCAGAGCTAGCGGCACAGAAAGTGGACACCAAGAGGCTAACCGACGAGAGATGGAGAAGCTAGACGCCCTTGGGAAAGGCCGGCGACCTCACCGGGCCGTCACCGGGCGCCCTTGCTCCCTGTGCCCTGGCCCCCGCCCCAGGCCTGGTACCCCCGAGAGCCCTGGAGCGGCAGCGCGCCCCCCGGAGGCCCGGTGGGGCTGCCCAGTCTCCCAGCCGCTTCGCAGCACACGGCCTTCCGCGCTGTTCCTCCGGCTCGCACGGTCCGGGGCGGGGGGCGGGGCACAGGGGGTGCGGGCGCACCCCGCCACGGGTTCTTACCTCAGCGCGGGCATCCGTCCGACCAAGCTCGGTTTGCTGCTGGGACTGCGGGGCTGGGGAGGCTCCCACGGACGCGGATCGCGCCTCCCCCCCCCCCGCCCCGAGCCCCCAGACCCTACGGTGGCCCCGAGCCGGGGCGCCGGGACCAGGGGACAGGCGCCGCGCCGGCGGGAGGAGGCGGCTCCTGCGGGGCGCGGTGGGGCGGGGCGGGGGCGTCTGCCGGGCCCCGCCCGGAGGGGACTTGGGAGCGATTATCTTCCAGAACAAAGGAGGCCGGGGAAGGCTCCGAGCCCCCCGGGCCTGGCCCTGAACTTGAACTTGTACTTGACACTTCGTCCGGAAGGTGGCGAGGGAACCCATCTGAGCTAGGACGGAGGCTCATCCGTTCACCTCACGTCCCGGGGAGGGAGCGAGCCCGGGCCCACCCCCCCCCCCCGGGCGCAGGACGGGACCCTAGCATCCCCAGGTGCCCCCGGGCCCCGGTGCGCCCCAAAGTGCCTCGCACCCGAGGGCCCGGGTCCTCGCGTCCCCCTGGGAGAGTCAGGGTGCGGGCGAGGCCTCTGGGTCTCCGGCCGGGAGGAGTGGGCCGGGGCCCTGCCCCCCCCCACCCCCGACTCCCACCCCACTCTGGGCCCGGGCCGCAGCCGTGGCTGCGCGGGGCTGGCCGGATTCTCTGCACGTCGCGTCGGCGGCAGCTATTCAGCCGCTAATTGAACGTTAATGGCAGGTGCGGATGAGGTCACCGGAGCTGGCTTTTCTCACACATTTTTCATGCAAATTCGCGAAACTCTAAACAAATTTAAATAAAAAGCTCTTTGTGCCGCGCGCGCCCCTCCGTCCTCTCCCTCCCGCCCGGGGTCCTGGGTCCTGGCTCCTCCCGGGGCCTTGGGGCCCCGAGCCTGCTGCCCGGCGGAGCGCGGCCCGAGGCGGGAGCCGGGCGCCCCGCGGAGCGCCGCCTGCCGGCCAGAGGTGCACACCCTGCCGCGCCGCCCGTGGCCAAACGCCCCCCGGCTGCCGTGGGGCCGGAGCGAGAGAAGTGTCACTGGCGTCGTGGGGCAGGGCGAGGCCGGTGGCGCAGGAAACCCTCGAGGAGGCAGTGCGGGCAGTGGTTAAGTGCCTGGCACCTGGACAGGCGGGCCTGTGCTGGCACCCTGGCTACACTGGCACCCGCACCCACAAGGTGACCCATGGGCCACCTTGGTCGGCTTATACGACCTCACTCTCTCCGTTGGTTAAATAGGAAGTAAGATAGTGCCCAGTTATGCGTACGTACGTCTGAGGCTTAAGCCATGATTTAGGACACGAACAAGCACTTAGAATAGTGCCTGGCCCAAGAGAGTGGTGATTATTATCTGGGGTCCAAGGGCCTTGTGACCATGAATGCTGTGATTTTGCACATACATAGAATCACTTGTCAGGGGCTTTCAAGAGATTTACGACTCCTTGCATCCCATTCTGGTCACAGAGATGAGATTCAGAGCCCAACTCCACTGCCTCTCACACCATGTGCGGCTCAGCCCTCGGCTGTGTGGCTTTGCATAGTCCTTAGCCTCTGTTTCCTAGTCTGTAAAATGGGACTAAGTCTTGTGGAGTCATGGTGAAGGATGAAATGAGAAACTCAGTTGGAGACTTAGAAGGGTCTTGTGAGCTGCCTCACAATCCAGAGCCTCCAAAGCTCCTCTCCTGAGGGCACTTCACCTGATTGCCACCCTCAAGGCTAGAGAGGCGGGCCCTGGGCCAGCCAGCAGCCTTCATCCTCTTACCCAAAGGACGCTAGCCCGGGTCAGGGAGACAGACTTTCCAAGAACTTGCTAGGAAAGAAACCCACTCTTTCCACCCATGCTAGGCCCCTTCCCACCCACCCCCACCACACGTTTTCTTTGCTAGTGGCTAAGTCGTACTGTCCTCACCCGTGTTCTCCCAGAAAAACAGACCAGAGACATGGACGTTATCCACTGTGGGCTGGGAAGATGAGTCTGGAGACTCAGGGGGCAGAGTTCACAGGACAGAAAGGGGCCTCTCTCTCGGAATTTGCCCTAGTCTTCCCTCAGGACCATCCAGGGACCTACTGACCTTGGAAAAGTCCCAGTGATTCAAGCTGACTGGGTGAGGTCTCTCCTCTCCCCACCTCCGCTTCTGCAACTTCAACTTTCCCCGAGCCTCCCATTAGGCCAGCCTCTGGGAAGCACTGGGGCAAGCCTGGGAGTGTCTTTTCCTGCTAGGCCCCTTCAGGTCAAGGAAGACGCAGAATCTGCAGGAGTGCAGAGGAACCGCACTCAGGGGACTATGATGCTGTCTAATTGACCCTCAGACCCCACCCACCCTCACTTGCACCAGCTGGAGACCCTGGGCCTTCCCCAGAACCCTGCCCCAGCTCTCCAGTGCTCACTTAGGCTTGTCTTGACCAGCTGGGCTCCATCTTTGTCTCCAGGCCACCACCTCCAGGAAGCCCACCTAGACAATCCTACTGTCCCTGGACAGCTCTGGAGGAGAGACTATACTACCAGAGAAGACAAAGGCCCCAAAAGTCCAGGGCTGGACACACTGAGGGAGATAGATGGCATTAGGTGAAACTGGGGGAGGACCTCAGGCAAAGGACCATCTGCAGTGACCTTGCAGAAGAGGGGTTAATGTCTCTGTGTGGGGGTTGGCAAGGGGGCATTGCAGCTTTAGGAAACTCCTTTAAGTGGCCCAGTCAGACAGGATCGCTTTGGGGTTAGGAGTCAAAGAGACTGGTTTGGGGGCAGTCTGGTTTTGGTTTTGGGGCACCTGGGTGGCTCAGTCAGTTGAGCATCTGATTCTTGGTTTTGGCTCAGGTCGTGGGTTCAGGCCCTGTGCCAAGCTCTATGGTGGAAGTGTGGAGCCTTCTTGGGATTCTCTCTCCCCTTCTCTCTGCCCCTCCCCTGCTCGTGAGCATTTGCTCTCTCAAAATAATAAACTTAAAAAGAGAGAGAGACTTGGTTTTGGACCTCAGTTCTGACCCTGTGTGGGGGGGGGGGGGGGCTTGGGACCTATAACTTTTCTGTGCCTCATTGTCCTGATCCCTAAAACGAATGTGCCAGTAATATTGGCAGCCCATGAAGTTATGGGGAGTCACTACAGCCCTCCTCATGTGGCCATTGCTTATTTATCTCTTTAAGAAGGCTCTACAACCAATGTGGGGCTTGAACTCACAACCCTGAGATCAGGAGTCGGACACTCTACCTACTGAGCCACGCAGGTGCCTAAACATGTGGTCATTCATGCTTCTTTCCTCCTCTCTCCGCTGGCCCACAGCTGATTTGCGGTGACTGACCATTGCTATCACCCAGGCCCCAGGGATCCCCGTGGGATTTCCCGCAGCTACTCAATCTGGCTCAGGGGTGCCTCTTTCCTCTGCTCCTCTCGGGCCCTGGCAGGTGGGTAGGAGGTGGGGGCGGCGGCCCCCTGGAGAGCTGCTACAGCGGCTGGATCCAGCTTGCAGGAGGCAAACCCACCCCGGGCCTTGCTGCTACTACACCACCTGTTGCCTCCTCAGAGACACTTGCTGGTCCATTTACTCTTTTGTTGGGGGGGACCGGGGGGGGACAGGGGCAAAGCAGGGGGAGGAAGCAATCCGCATTGGGCACCTACATTCAGCATGGCGGCGTCTCTCTCTGCGAACACGGGAGATTTCACAGCTCTGTCCATTCGTCAGCCCAAGCCCACCAGCCACCCCAGCATGGTGACACCTTTACTGGGCGGCAGTGGTGGCAGTGGATGGGGGCACCTCCTCCCCTACCCTGGGCCCCAGCCCACCCCGAGACTGGACTGGTTCAGGCGTGTGGGGAGGTGACTAGGCCGGGGCTTCCAAGGGCCCCTCCTAAATAGGCAGCTCCTGAAGGTGGAGGGGCAAGGTCTACTCCCAGTGAAACAGGGAGCCCCCCCCCCACCCCCCTCCCTGCTGAGGAGCTGGGACAAACTGATCACCTTCTCTTCCGCACGATGAAATCGGAATAATGATACCCACCTAAGCAAGACCCAGAGATACTAAGCCCGGCACTTAGTAGGCCTTTAATTAACAACAGCAGCCATGATGATGATGATGGGGGATTATTAGGCCTGCAAATGGCCAATGGCAGAGTCTCCGGGATGTTTTTTGCTGCAACATCACCAGCATCCGCTTAGAGCTCTTACCCTAATGTGGGTTAACAGAAGTTAAGCCTATTATATTCAACGGCCTCTTTAAAATTTTCAATACAAGTATTCCAGGTGCATGGAAAGGATATAGAACAGTAGAGAAAAGAACATCCGTCCATCCCCAGAGACAGGCTTCCAACACAGAGTTCCAGAAACTCTTCATATAGAAGCATATGCTTAGGACTGACTTCAATACACACAGGTAAGATCGAGCTCTATTGCCTGTTCTGCAGTTTATTCTCCTCAGGCAACAAACACGCTGGCCAACCTCCTGGATCAGTTTATACAGAGAGCTCTGCCACAGTGATTTTTTTCGACTGTCTAATATTCCACAGTATGAATGGCCCACAGGTTCATTTCCATTGTCTTATACTCTCAAAGAGAAACGCTCTGACGAACATCCTTGTACAGACTTCTTGGGAAATTTTTGCATATATAACCGTAGAGTGAATTCCTAGCAGTGCAATTTGCTTGTGGCTGAGTATATGTATGTCTTTTACATTGTGATAATGCCACATTTCAGAAAATACCGTACAATTTACATTTTCCAGCCAACAGTGTTTGACAGTGTCTTCAAATAGACACATGATGATAGAGAAAGGCCCCAAAATAGCCAGCTGTGTGAGATCCGGGGGCCCGCTGAGAACAGGCCTGTTGTCCCAAGGGCAGTGCCCAGCGGCTTCCTCCTGTCTGGGCTTGTGCATGCCGGTGGCCCAGGGGGACCCTGAGTCAGAGGGGGGTGGGGGCCACAAGGGTGCTGGGAGCAGAGGGCGGACCAGCATGGCTAGAGTCCCGCCTGAATGGTTTCCTGTGGCCATTGTCTCTGCCCTGCCAGGTCTCCTTGGGGGGAGTCTGTTTAGAGGCCTGCGGAGAGGGGGCTGGGCAGGAGGAAGAGGAGGGTGCAGTCCTTGCCAAAGGCACCCAGGAATGTGTCGCAAGAGGGAGAGAAAGAGGAAGGGGGGGGGGAATCTCATCCCTGGGAGAGACGGGACGTCAAGAACCCCTGACTAATGAATAGTGAGTGTGCCCTTGAACCTCACTGGGCTTCGCCATTCTCAGGCACAGAACAAGAGCTGAGACACGTCTGAGCCCAGCTGCACGGGGACGGCGGCGGTTCATCTCAGACACTTTGACAGGCCGGGCCTTTTCCCTGCATAGCTCAGGTCCGCCTCCCAGCTCCCTTGGCAACAGCACAGCGGCACTGGCTCCCAGGTCCAGGCCCTGCCTGCTGTGAGCGGGAGGAGGGAGGAAGAGGAGCACCAAGGGGAGGACAGCTGGGGAGAGGGAGTCGTTAACTCCTAGAAGGCTGGAGCCCCTTGCTTTGGCCACCTCGCAGACTGCTGCCCTCGGTCCTCTGGGGCGGACGTACGGAGAGCAAAGAGCTTCTGTCTGCTGGAGGCCTGGTCAGAGCACCGCAGGCCTGAAACAGGCACGTGGTGTGACAAGGGCAGAAACAGGGGCCCACTGGCCAAAGGCAGAGGCCCCTCCCTGCAGGATGGACGGTCCTTTGCCAAGTCCTAGGTGGGCATGGGTAGGGGTGGAGCTTGCCCCTTTGCCCAGGGCCGCCTCCTCCATCCTGGCCCCTGCCCGCTGCAGCCTCAGGACAGCGGCTCCTGCAGCTTCGACTTCTGCTTGATGTGACGATCTCCAGTGTCCTGGAGTGGCGTGGCTCTGGATTCGGATCCCGTGCCCTTGGCAAGACCCGCAGTTTTCCTCTCTGTCTCCATTTTCGGAGAAGCTGAAAAGAGGCTGTCCCATCACACTTCACAGGACAATCTAAAGATAAGAGAAATAATATGTGAGAAGGAGCGTTGCACTCTGGGGAGGAAGGTGTCCTATAAATCTCATTCAGGTATTATTAGGGCTGAAAGTAGGTACTTCTGCTCCCTGGGGCTGGGGGGAGGTGCTCACTGAAGGTTGTGTCAGAACCTCCCCAGCACAGTAGGACTGAAACTCAAAGGCAAGGGGTCAGGAAAGACAATGGTTTATGGTTTATGTCTGTGGCCTCTGGAACCTCTGGGTTCAGCTGGCGCTGGGAGGTAAAAGACAGCGACCATATAACTTCAAGGTGTTTTACCCGTATTCTACCCCCCACTGCAACTTAATGAGAAAGGTGTGGTTATTCCCATTTTGGACATAAAGAGACAGTCTCAGAGACGTAAAGGGCTGGCCCAAGGTCATGCTGGCCATATAAGGGCCTGAGCCCATGCTGACCTGACGCTATGGCCCACACTTGTGCCCACACGGTGACACAGCCACCTGGCTGGGGGAGCTGGGGAGAGGGGCCAGCCATTGGGAGATAGTGTCTTCCCCGTGGACTGTTTCTGGGGGCTTTGGCTTCTAAGTCTAAAGGCCCTGGCCCAGGGAAGTAGGACGGGCCGGGTCCCCAGAACACTGCAAAGCCGCCCAAGGGGCCAGCAGCTGGCAGTCAGAGGCACCTGGGCAGACACCAGTCAGAGAAAAGGGGAAGAGAAGAGGAGGCTTCCGGTAAGAGGCCGGGAGCAAACTCAGCTGACAAGTGTGCTCTGCAGCGCATGCCTTGCTCCAGGGCGGGTCACCTCCCAGCTTCGTGACACTTGCCAGCAGTGAGCTGGGTATTCATTTTTGTAGCCTCGGGGTGAAGGTGCCTCCCTGCATCCCAGGGCAACTTGAAGGGAACCAAGTCGGTTGGGTTTCCTGTGAGCCAGGGGGCTGGGTGGGGCGGGGACTGCTGGCAGGCAACAGAGGAGAAAAAGCAGAGAGAACTTCCAGATTATAAAACGTCACAGCTAAAAGGGACCTTAGATGCCATTCTATCCAGTGCTGCTTTTCCAGCTCCAGAAAGGGAGCTGGTTCACCTAAGACTCTGCAGCAGGAAGACGGACTGCAGGCCAAGTCTCCGACTTGCAGCTAAGTGGGGCTGTATGTCCCCACGCCCTTGTCACTCCACCAGGCCGCCTTGGGCCCTTAAAGGCAGGGATTTTACGCAATGAGGCAAAAAAGAAGGACCAGGGAAGAGGAGCTCCTGTTGGCAAAGGGGTGGCTTCGGGAAGCCTTGAGGCCAGAAGCCTTCCTGAAAATGAGAGAACGCTCTCCACACCACCGCCACCACCACCCTCCCAGTACTCCACAGCCAGTCACCGCCAGGATCCTCTCCTGCTGATGACAAAACAGGCAGGAGGAAATGGATCTGACTGCAGACAGGCCCCTAATCCTGACCCATGATGTTTCTGAGAAGAAGGGACAGGAAGGAGGCCAGCTCTAAGGGATGTAGGCAGGGTAGGGGCTACCAGAAGCTTGTCCCCACAGAGCCTGGTGGCAGAGCTACAGCCAGGGCAGGGCCTCGAACTGGAAAGGACCTCAGCTCCCTGCCCTTTGTCGCCGGCTCCTCTGCCAGGCGGGGCCACGGCACCCCATGCCAGGCAGACCTGACCTGCTCAGAACGCAAAGGAGATAGAGGGAGCCCGCACCCTACAACCTTGTCAGCAACTGCCCTCGAGGGAAGTCTGTGCGCTTGCTGATGAACAGACGCGTGATGGAGCAGAAAGACACAAAGACAAATGAACTTATCCTGGCCCAGCTGTGCCCTCCTCCCTGGGCTGATGATTTGGGCCAGCTGCCGTTCCGACTGGCCGGTGCCCACGGTTAAATAGTCCGCATATCGCCGCTGTCCTCCTCCCTCAAATCCCAGCCATATTACCTGACCCTGAGGAGCTCGACGCCGTCACACCCGCCCTGTACCTAGGGGAAAGGGAGAAGGAAAATGAACCCTATCGAGGGTTTCCTGGGTACTTAGCACTCCTCGTTACAACTCTACAGATGGGGATTATTATTCCCATTTTACAGATGAGAGCTTAGAGACTCGGAGACACTTAGGGGACTGCTGCACAGTAATGCCAGAAGCAGAGCCTCTGCCCCCAGCACCTCTCCCTCTGTCCCTCCTCTCCAGCTAAGTCCCAGGGTGGGGCCACCGGTCCTGAGGTGCCAGAAGCCGCCCAAACCACGGGGGTTTGTGCTCGGCATCTCTGCCTCAATTTCCTATCTCCCCAAGGCTCTCTCGGGGCTACTCAGTCTAAGCTGGTGAGCAAGGGAGGCATACTGCCCAGCATATTTGATTAGTTCTAGAACAAATGCGTGTCTTTGGACCCCGACAGGTTGCCGGTGGGGGGCGGGGAGGAATTCCTACCACTTATGGATGTCTTTTTCTAACTGGGAAACAGGAGCCAGAGGACTTAGGAGGCTGGGGGTAAGGGTGGGGACAGCCACCAAACAACAAAACCTTCGCCACGCAGAAACGGCTGGAGAGCCTCAGTCTTGGGAACTTTCCTCCTGAGGAACAAAGAACAAGGTGACGCCGGCCTGGGCCCTGCCACTCCACTGGGCACCGCTCATGCTGGGTCCAGCCTCAGGAGGGGGAACCGCGCTTGGAATGTGATTCCCTGGCTTTGCGTGACGCTCGGTTAGCAGAGTGCGACTCCCAAGATCCCCTGTCACCTCCTAAAGCCTCTGCCAGCCCGCCCCCCCCCCCCCAGCACCACGCTGATCACCAGATTAAGGAGCTCAGGGCTACAGCTGAGGCAGCTAAAACCGGGAGGGCGGTGTGGGGAGGGGCAGGGAGGGCGGCGGGCAGCGTCCCAAGGCCCTGCCTCCCCTGTCTCCCTCCCCCACTCCTACTGTGAGTCCTTTTCTGTGTTCCTGCCATGAGCTCTAATCTCTGTGCTCTTCCTCACCGAGCTTCCGACATCCTCCCCCTACAGATACCCAGCTGGCGCTGGGACAGCCCCGGAGCCCAGGAGAGGGTAGGACGGGAGAAGTGGCAGGGAGCGGCAACCAGGGTGTTAGGAGTGAGCGTGCCGGGCTGTGCAGACCGGCTGCAGCCACATGGGAGGGAAGGAGGGTGGGCGCTGGGAGGCAGGCCCAGAGCCTCCCTGCCTGGACTGAGAGCCACCTAAGGGTAATCCCAGAGGCTCCCTGTGGGTCCCTGTGGGAGGCTGCCGGACTCCAGGGCAAGGCGCCTCCCATATACCCGAGGGGAGAGCAGGAGGAAGCGCCAGAGGCAGGGGAGGCTGGCAAGGGCCAAGGGAAGGAATGTGGACACTCAAAGCTCTTCCCCAAGACCCCCCAGCATTTCCTGAACCAAAGTCATCGCAAGTCATTTAAATCACAAACACAGGAAAAAGAGTGCCCTTCTGTAGGCAGGGTGTCACCAGATCTGTAACAAATGAGATGGGATGGGTCCATCCAGGATAAAGACCCTACAGGAAGGAACTGGAGGTTTTGGCACAGGGCTTTTTGGACTGTGAGCACCCCAGGCTCGGGGTGCTTCTGACCCAGGAGCGGTGGCGGGAGGGCAGGGCCAGTGGGGCTGAGGGGTTGAAGGCCGCGGAGGGCCTGGGAGCCAGACCGCCTGGTCACTGGATCCTGAGACCCCTGCACTTGCACACGAGGGGCCATGCCCCACGTCCCCCTCCACCTCTCAACGTTACTATGAGGAAACTCTGATGGCCCAGTTCCGCAGGCTTCCAGCCCCTTCTCAACCCTGTCCCCCATGCCAGGGCCTGCAGGGGGCGGCCCGGACATACCCGGGGCACGGCCAGCAGCTGCTCTCCCTTCAGCTTCTCCTTTGCTTCCACCGCCAAGCTCCCTTCTGCTGGGTGGGGGCAGGAGAAGGGCTTGGGTTGCTAACGGGGGGTCTGTGAGAGCCCAGGAAGAGACACTCTGCCAGCTCCTGATTCCCCACCCGCTCCCAAAGCCAAGGTCCACGCTCCAGTGTCAACAGGAGTGAAATCTTTCCCACGATGCCCTCCTTCACCTCTGGCCAGAATTCACGGGTCCCATCCCTGTCCTTGGGCTAAATCGGCGAGTGCTAAATCAACACAGCTTTGCCATGCTCACCGTCACAGACATTCTGAGCTATAAGGAACCAAGAGATTTCGGAAGTACAACTCACTCATTTTGCCGGTGAGAACACTAAGATTCAGGGTGTCGGGGAGAATTGGTCTGCCAGAGGTCACAAAGCAAGCCAGTGGCAAGGACAGGCCTCGCGCCTGTCTTCCAGACCCCTTTCCTGTTCAGGGCCTGAAAGAGGGCTTCTCCATCATATCCCAAATAATATCCTGGCCCAACTGTGGGCGGCGGGGGTCTGGGGCCAAGGGAGGCCGTAATGCGATAAGCAGACTGGCCATCTGGCTCGGGGACGGAGGAGAGCCCAGACTGGCCGCTTCTGCTGCCCGTCCCGGGGGGCCCTGTGTCACGAGAGACAGACTGCCAGATGGACAGGCACTAGCTTGGGTCTGGGTGGAAGCCAGTGAGTTCCCTGTAGTCAGAGCTAACCAACTTTCAGACGTGCTAGGGTAAGAACAGGGTGGGGGGGGTACAGGGAGCAGAGCCAGGCCCCCCAAAGGGCAGAGAGACAGAAAAGCAGGATGAGGACGCCGAAATTCCCACCCAGGCTTAGAGCCTGGCTCCCCAGGTAGGCCCGGCCCAGCTCAGCTCCACCGCCACAAACAGGTCCCCCTCCCCGGGAAAGGCAAACACATCCCCCCTGGCACCTTCTCAGACATGCATGCAAAACTAATTAACATGGGGAGACATGCGAGCAGCCGGCCAGCTCCACACCCTCGAGTCCACGCAAACAAGGCGAGCCCTTGTCCAGGGGACGTGCACAAAGCTTTGTTGCTAATTTAGGCATCTGTCTCTGTCTGGCCTGGTCCTCCTGCCTGTGCTGGGGTTTTTCCCAGCCCCTCGGACAATGCTGGGAACAGGCCCGCCGATCCCTTATTCAAATCACACCCAGGACAATGAGCTCATTGTGCAGGACACAGAAAAGGGGATGCTGGGGTTGGGGGGGGGGGGGTGGTGTGTAACGGGGCATCAGGAGTGGAGAAGGGTAGGGGGTGGTGAGGAAAATGGGAACCCAGGAAAGTGTTTACTAACACAGCCCCTGCAGCTGCTTGGGCCCCTCTCCCCTCCCCCGCCCGGCTGGCAGCTGAGGAGAAGTCCTAGGACTCAGAGGTGGGGGCCCCAAGAATGGATGAGGGGCCTTGTATCCACCGGGCCAGCAGTCAGCAAAGTCTGGCTCAAACCTCCACCTTTGACAGTCTATAGCCGCCCCTGCATGTTCACGGCCAGACACGTTGTTTTTATAGATTGGTTCCGAGGTGGGGGGGTTCTTTTTATTTCTTTCTGCAGACGAGCAGTGTTAACGTACAGATCCAAGCTGCAGAGGAGGAGACGGGGCTGGGGGGAGAGGTGCTGGCAGGCCGTGCAGGGTGGGACCTGCTGTCTCGGCCATTGTCTTCAGGCAACGTTTCATTTTCTCCTCCTTCCCAGCTAATAAATTAGAGAGGAGATGGTGAGCTGCGAAGGGACAGGCTCCCCACGGACGGTGGACGGCAGGCGGGCGGGCGGGAAGGCGAGTCTGTGAGCTCACGGCAGATGGGGCTCACCCAGCCTCGAGGCTGCTCACACCGCACCTGGTCAGACACTCCCATGCATCCCCACACAATGAGCCCCATTAAGAAAACCACGCGCACACACACGCGTGCGTGACACGGACGTGTGCGTGTGTGTACACATGTATACGCACATCTATAGAAATCTCCCGAGGTCCCCGAGGGGGGAGATCTGGGGCTTTGAAATGCCCTCCCTGCTACCAACAACCCCCAGCTCCTTGTCGCAGTGAGCAGCCCAGACAGGCCGATGTAAACAGACACACACAGCCTGACACTGACACGCAGACACAAAAAGAAACACACCCACCCAGAGGCAGCCCCAGACACACACACTGACAATAGTGTAATGAATGCAGGACGGGACGGCATTCAGTCAAAAGCCCACATCGCTGCTCGCCCAGCACCGGGGGTGGCTGCAAGGTTATGGACAGGCTGCGAGCCAGCTCTTGACGACCTGCTCCTTTGCTCCGTCTCCCAGGAGTGCGGACTACACGGGAGGCGAAGTAAGAATACGATTCCAGGCATCCAGATGGAAGCAAATGCCCCACGAGCCAGAAAAGTTCGGAACCGGTCTCAGCCCTTAGTCAGGCTCGTCTGAACTGCCCTGAGGATTTTTTTCTTTAATACTGAAAGAGAGGTGTTCAAAGTCATATTAACTCTCCTGCATTTTAAGATGGTGTGGCTTAAAGTCAGGGCAAAGTGGAACCTTGTGGGCATTGTTTTCACAAGCAGCAGAACCCACAGGTTGGGGTGATCTCCTCTTTTCAGTTAAAATAATTTTGAGCAGGGTATATAGGATGCAGAGGAACACGAAGGGTTTACATCTCAGAGACCCAGTAAAAAGTGCTTCTAAGGATACAGGGGAAGGGGTGACCCCTTCTGCACTGGCCCAGCAGAGCAGAAATGCATTAGGCTCAACCATATGAAAGTACCGATATTTGACTGTTTTAGATCGATAAAAAAGAAATGTCATATAGGTCAACTTAAGTAGGCAGCTGGTCCAAGAACCATCAGGGGATTTTCCTTTTTATTTCCTCCCCAAACTGGGTTCTTTTATTCCTGAATCAGAAAAAAAAAAAAACAAAAACAAAACAACCATAACCCAAGACCCAAATCGACCTTGGATCACCCATCTACAGCCACATAACCGCATCGTGCACAGAGTCTGGAGCAGCCGCTGGAATGAACTGTGGATACGCACATGCACGTGTACGCATGCACACACACGCACACACAACCCACGGCCTGTGTCAGGCCAGGACCCACCTTCGGAATCTTCCACCAGGGCTCCCGCTTCTTTGTTCCCTGTCTTCTGATTCCGGAATGTGTCCTGGAGGGGACAGAAGGAACATGAGAGAACACGATGGAAAACGGGACAACCATGCTCTTGGCTTCTCCTCTGGAGGAGTGTCAGGGGCTAGCATGGGAGACTATGCACGCACTTTGTCCTGGAGGAAATGTCAGCTTCAGAGCTTCATCTCTGAAGCACTGCTGTCAACTGGCTACCAAATGTAAACCCAAGGCCAGCCTCTGTGCACATGACATTCATTCAGACTACCTCTAAAGAGGCACAAGGGAAGCCAGAGGGGTGCTGAGGCCACCCCGGCGTAGGGAAGACCCACTCCTTGCCAGCATCTGGATATCCATGTGTCCAGTCCTGGGAAATCACTCTCCAGAACGTCTCTGGGTTGCCATGGGAGGAAAGTGGAAGGTTTTGGAAGCAGAGTCAAGAACTGTTCTGTATCCCACTATCTGTTTCTTGCCCACCGAGGAAAGCCTGCTTCACATACGCTCATCCTACGCCATCAGTAGCAGGTGGGTGGTCCATACAGGAGCCGAGGGGAAGATATATCCACTGAGAGTCTTCTAGTGGCCAAGGACCTGGGGCTCCATTCAAAGACCTGGAGCCACCTTCCATGCAGATGGAGATGGCATGGTCCCTCCTACATCTCTGACAAGTACTTTAACCAAAAATACCATGTAAGTTCTAGATTTATCTCTCTAAACACACACACGTACATGCATGCATACATGCACGCACGCGCGCGCACACACACACGCACCCACACTGACTTAACAAGAAAACCACCAAAGCAATAGTAATAATAAAATAAAACCTGTTTGGCCTTCCTGCTCCTGGGGCAAGTGACAGAATGACAGCCTGCGGTCTGGGCGTTAGGGCCAGTGGAGTCATTTGCAAGGCGGGCCCCAGCCTAGGGGCTACGTGGATGGCTCTTCCAAACTTCAGCTGTGTTGACAGGAGGCATCTGGGTGCCCACTGCTGCTATAGGGCAGGCTTACCTGCCAGCCCCTGTGCTCAGGATCCAGTCTGAGCAGAACCAGGAGAGAATTCTGGCTTGGATGCCCCAAACGGTACCTGATTTCTTCCAAGGAGGAGAAACCTTCCGTACGTGAATTCTTCCAGATGTGATTTATTATTTGATTGCATTGAAGGTGTTCCTTACCAACCTCACACACAAATCTCAATAGGTTCCTGCTATGCTGATTTCCAAGATCAAAGTTGTTCCTCAAACGAAGAAAAGGCAATTGGGATATCACAGTTCTATAAAGAACCAATGGGGGGCGCCTGGGGGGCGCAGTCGGTTAAGCGTCCGACTTCAGCCAGGTCACGATCTCGCGCTCCGTGAGTTCGAGCCCCGCGTCGGGCTCTGGGCTGATGGCTCGGAGCCTGGAGCCTGTTTCCGATTCTGTGTCTCCCTCTCTCTCTGCCCCTCCCCCGTTCATGCTCTGTCTCTCTCTGTCCCAAAAATAAATAAACGTTAAAAAAAAAAAAAAAAGAACCAATGGAATCTGGAAAAGCAAAGTTCTGGCCCAGGCTAAATGGCAACTTCAGGTCACCACAGGCAAAGCATGAAATGACCTCTGACCCTGCTTTCCGAGGCTCCTGGGACTGGAAAGCCAGAAAGCTACAAACTGGTGAGAACTGTCATCCCCCCAGCACCCCTTCCCCCAGCCTGGCCTTCCCAACCTGGATGGCCAGATGAAATTCTGTATTACACAAGTTTAAAGTGCTGAGCATGGGACTGTGGTTTGCTTCTCTGTATCCGCAAGGCACTGTCCAGAGCCCGACACATAGCGCTTGGTCAGTAAATGTTGAGTGGATAAATGAACGCAATAGCAAAAATACAGCCCGGCATGGGAAGACTTCCGATTCCTGAGCTCCGAGGTTCCGTGGCATAGTCCAGAGGTGCTAAAGTCCTGGCCAAGAGCCATCAGAGGTGAGAGCCCAGGGGAGGTACCTGCTCGGCTCAGGCCAGCCCGGTAGCCTCCCACATGGATCTTGCACATGGTGGTGACAAGACCAGCTCCCTTAGCCTGCCCTCCACCCCTCTTATTCTCAGCCTCTACCATCTGACCTGCTCATCTGTACCCAGATTTTTGGCCCGGTCCTGCAGGAGTCTACCCTGCTGCTCCATCCCCAAACTTTTGTTGGGGAGTCTCTCCCCCGCTCAGCCTAGGAGACCTGTTTGGGTACAGTGAGGCTTCTCTGATGACTCCACTCCAAACTAATTCCTCCTCTCTTAACTCCCACAGTCTGAGTCAAGCCATCGACTCTTGAATGTGTGCTTTACTAGGCTCGTTTCTGCTTGGAGGGGCCAGGGAGCAGGTCTGGGGTTCTCCTGGGGTTCTCTCTGTACTGGAGCTTGGAGCTTATGCATGGTCAGTAAACACCATGACTTATTCCAGTGACTGACAGAGAGCTGAGCCCCACGCCTCGTTGGCTGCTTTCCCTGAGCCTCCACACATTACCGATGTGCGGCCCACCAGGGAGATGGTCCCCTATGGCACAGCCTTGCTGGCTCATGCGTGCTCAGCCCGCCTCCGCCCCCCAACACATATACACCCCCATTCTCTAACAGCAGCGGATGGAGGGTGCAAACTGACATTCCTGAGTGCCACAAGCTCAGTATTACTATCCCAATTTTACAGATGAGAAAACGGGCTCAGAGAGAGGTGAAATAATGTGCCCGAAAGGGTCTGAACTAGAGCAGACAGACCCCTGATGCCCATCGGGCCGCACGCACTGCTTCAAACCACCATGATCTTGAAACCTGCGATCCAATGACAAAAAAGAGAAAAACGAACCTGAAACAACTAAAAATGGGGTAAAGGAAGCTGCAGGCTCAATGTGGAAGGGGTGGCTGTAAACTTGAGCCTTTCCTCTCTATTAACACTCTCCCCAGCACTCCCCAAGGAAATGACATGCCCTCAGGGGCATCTGCCACCTCTCCTATCCCGGGCCACTGAACTCCGGGGACAGGAAGACGGTCTAGCATTCTCTGCTTAAGCACCAGACAAGACTGGACAGAGAAGTGGATCCCTCACCCCCCTCCAGAAGACTCAGTGCTATCTCAGGGGGATGTAACATTCTAGAAAACAGAGGCTCAGCCTCGCCCTGGGCAGGTATGATCCCTTGGCACCATGGGCAGACTGGTGGACTTTGGCTAACCCCTGATTTTACAGAGTGAGGCACAGCCAGGCTACAGTTCACACTGACAACCAGGAGGAAGCCAGGGTTGGGTGGGACACTTCTCACCCCTCCTAGAGTCTCACCAAGGCTCCCGAGGGCCCAGCACTGAGCCCTCCTACTCACACTCTCCAGGTACACTGCCAGCCCAAAGCAGGAGGCACTTCGGAGCCACCTTCTAGTAACCCAGATGGGCTCGTGCTGTTCCCCAAAGCCCAGGCAGACTCCTTGGGAGATGAGGGCCCACGGGGGGACCCAGACTACCGCCTACTCAAGGGCTGTAGCTTCTGAGACATTCCCCATGCAATCACCCCATGACATCTGGCTTAGAAAAACAAGGGTAGACCCAAGATTACATTTACCATTCTTTCTGCTCCCCAAAGAGACAGGCCTTAAAAGAAGATAAAGCATGCGCAGCGTTAGCACAGGACTCGGCACAGCATAAGTGCTCAATAAATGGTTCCTGTCACCATTATCAAGCGTCAGTATGATTTCCTGACGGCCCATTCCTCACCTCCCAGGCTCGTGTGAGGAGCTGTCTTTTCATAAACTCAAGGCTTACTGAGGCTGGGAGACCATTAACGGAGTCCAGGGTTTCCGGGGCAGGAAACCGGAGTTTCTGACAGGAGAAGGGGGCTGGAAGCAAGGCTGGACCCATGGCCAGGAGTCCTCTGAGGTGAGAAGGCCCCTTCGCCCTCTGGCAGCAGGATGAGCCCAGCACCTCCCCAGAAAATCTCTCTGAAGACTCAAGGCTTGGCAGGGAGCCAGGGCAGGAGGCCTCTCGAAGACGACGACGCTGGCTCTGAGCCAAGGCGCATCCCAGAAGCTTCAGCTCGCACAGAGCAGCACAGGCCGAGGGGAGGAGGGGCAGCCGGGAGAGGGGCAATGAGGAACCCTCGGGCCAAAAGAAACCTGCCTAAAGGGGGTTTAGTGTGAACTTGAGATGCACAGCCACCTTCCCATGCCCTGTGGTTTCCACACACCTGAGACACTACGAAATCACTATAAGCACAGCGACGCGGGGTGGGGAGGTGCTCTGCCCCCAGGACAATGCTCCTGTCACCTACATCTATGTCCACACAAACTCCACCCAAAGACTCCTGGGGGTTACCCACTGGTTTTCTTCCCCATCTCCTAAACTCCAAAAACAAAATGTTGCCTGTAGATTCAAGGCCTTCTGTCGCCAAGGACTGTGGGGTAACCCCCATTTAAGGGGCTGTACTAGGCACTTCTAAAAGCCCCATAAGACCTGAGCCTCCCAGTGGCCTCCAGCCTGGCGTTTCCATGGCCTTCTTCTATACAGAGAGCTCTCTTTGGCCAGGGACCTTCCAGGGACAGACGAAGATTCGTTACTGAACTTCAGGCCTGGAAGAGATCTTAGCCCTCTAGTCTAGACCAATAAACTATGAGCTGCATGTATCATTTTAAACTTCCTAGAAACCACATTAAAAAGGAAGAAGCAGCAGATCAAACTTATTTTAATAATGTTTTGTTTAACCCAGTATCATCGTTTCAGCTTGCTGCGCTGACCACATATCACGAGATCAACAGCGGTTAACTGGGCGGCCCAACTCTTGGCTCCAGCAACCTCCCCAACTTTGGGAAGATGAGGTGGCCCAAGTATCTCTAAGGAGAGGGGAGCAGGGTCGGAAGGGGAGCCCCAAACTCCATCCCTACTGCTGGGCCCACCGGCCTTTCCTCCCAGCCTCCCAATTAATACCCGCCTACGAGACAGCTGAGTTTACGATAAATCAAATTCAGGGGGACGAGCGCAACACGAACCTGTTTGGAACAGGAAACCTGGAGGGGAGAAGAGATGGGTGCACTTGACATCACAAGCTCGGGAACAAAGACCAACAGAAAGGAACAGGAGGGAGGTTCGGCCTGACCTCTGCATTGGAGGCAGGTCTGGAGGAGGGCGTGCCGCCCCCAGTCCCGGCCACCCGGCTCCTCCAGGCTGCAAATACCCACGCTCCGGCACTGGGTCTGGTGAATTTTCTGCCGCGTCTCCCTGGAGGAACTACCCACAAAAGCTCCTCTCTGCTTTAGAAGGCAAGAACAAGTCGTGCATTTACCCGGTGCTTCTTACTCGGAGTCGCCATGCCAACACACAGTCATAATTACCGAGGAACGCGCCAATAGTGGCAGCATTGACAAAGACACTATATCAGGGCCTGTGAGCTAAGCAAGGTCAGGCTCCTCGCGCCCCCCCCCCCCCCCCAGCTTCCTGCCCACTTCCTTTATTCCACTCTGATCCATCTCTTTCCCTTCATTCTTTCTCTCCCACCCAGATGGTCTCTTATTATATTTTCTCTGCAAAGAAAGGCACTACAGCTCAGTGTATAAAACACTTTTATAGCAATTAGGAGACAGGTTCTCCTTTGAGTCCCGATTTTAACTTGTGGGAAAAGTCACTTTAACACCCAGGCCTAGTTATCTGGCCGTGAATGGGGAGAGTATTTCGGACAGTGCCTATTCAGCAAGTGGGTGCCTGCATTTAATTCACCTACTAAATTCAGAGGCTGCTACGTATCTAGTGGACTCCGAGATCTCCTTTATGAGCAGCACCGGAGGTACCAGAAACTCAGAGAAACAAAAGAAGGTTCAGATCAGAGAGGGAGTTGGCTCTAATACCCTGAGAACAGCAGGGTCTGTATCTCCCCCCACAGGAAGGGTGCAAATCTCAGAAAAGGGGCCAGGAGCAGCTGAAGGGTGGGCTCTATCAGATTATAAAAAGATGGGTGAGATGGATGAGAACTATCAGCCTAAGTGACAAGCATCCTGAGGCCCCCAGTGAGACAAGGACATGCACCCATTTCAAATGAGAGGTCAAGAAAAGAAGGCAGACAGCCACCACCAGAGCCTGACACAAGAGCGCCCCAATTTCAGAACACCCAGTGCACCAACATCTGAACTTACAAAGGAGATAAATTGGACGCCGATGATTAGCATCACAAAATGATTATTCCCTTTGTAAAAGGCTTCACTGCAGGACTGCTTTAAATAGTGCATTTAAACCATGATCTGATTTGCTAAATTCGATTTATACACATCTACTGCCTAAGCTGGCGTGCGGCTGTATTTACATGTCTTCCCTTGGCACGGAGGAGGGGAGAGGCCAGCCATTATTTGGGGCCTTTAATCCTTGTAGACAGTAACTAATCTGGGGAGCTGAACCCTGTTTTTCTTCCACAGCTGGGGCTTTCGCTGTAAACTGGGCCTCAGCTCTCCACCCTGCTTTGCCTGGCCAGAGCCAGCCCAAAGATGATGGTCAGGATTTGGCCAGGATGTGTTGGAGTGTTTCTGCCAATAGGGGCTCCTCACCAAGAAGGAGACCCCCCTCTCCGCACCCAAGGATGACAACTTTCTGGTACAAATTTTCAGAGAATCTGGTCCATGGCAGGCTCACTAAATGCATTCAGCACCTACAGTTATCATGCCAGGGTTCAAAGGCTGGCTACCTTTTGGGAGCCATGGAAACTTAGTAATCTGTAGAAGTTCTGGGACCTGGTGAACTACATTCTGCTATTTGTACTTAAGCCACAGGAACCAAAGCTGGGCTGGCACAGAAAGGCTGGCTCTCCACCCCAAGACAAAAGAATGGGTCCACCAGGTCTCACGGTGACTGTGCCGGTGTAATGGGGAAACCTTCGTCAGTTACTCTAAAGGGACTTAGGCTCTCATTGACAGCATAGTCCTTCAGGAGAGACATGACTCCTTCCCACAACACCAACAACGTGACAGGACAGTTAGGGGCCAGACCACTGCCAAAAGGTCACACCACTTGCTAAAAGAGAAATCTAAGGAATTCATGGGCTCAGGGATGCAACATTCAAAAAACCAAGTCCCTTCAAAAAACAACTTAGAACCTCTCCCTCCACCACCCCCGCCACCATTTCCAAGAGCCAGAAGCTTAGTTTTTTAGAACCACGTATTCATTTAGCAAATATTTACAGACATCCACAATGATGAGCCCAGCCCAGCAGTGGGAACTGAGGGAAAAGAAAGGAACAGGCAGCATTCAGGTCCGAAGAATTTATGGAAGATGGAGGGGTCACCAAACGTAACTGAACTATTTCACTGTTGAGAAACCCACTAAAACCTGCTCACGAAAGAATGGGAAACTGGGAATTGATTGGACTGGACCCCAGTTCTTGCTCTGCCAGCTAACTTTATGACCTTGGGGAAAATCACTTAACCTCTCTGGGTCTGGTTCCTCATCTGTGACATAAGCAGTTGACCTCCATAATAACCAAGCTTTAAATTTTCTATAAATCTTACAGAGGAAGAAATGTTCATATCCCTAAAAATCCTGATCAGCTTCTTCTTCTTCTTCTTTTTTTTTTTTTTTTTAACAAGGTTATAAATCGTCCCATTTTCTTCTTTGTCTTGGCTGCCAGGAGGCTCAGACCAATACTGAATACAACATTTATTTTAGGCCAGGACTTCAGGCCAGGAGATTAGGGGTGGGGGAAGCAGGGTATGACAGGAGAGCTCTCATATGCGAGGTAGGGCTGTGCGGAGATGGGGCTTGGATTCAGGACAGACTCGGTGCTGGACAGATGAGATCACGATGGTGATGAATCCGTGTGTCTGTGCGTACGTATGCATGTGCAGAGCCTGTGGTTAAGAACTCAGACGTTCGGGCAGACAGCCCTGAATCCACATCTGGACTTTGCCACAACCTGGCTACAGCCAAAGTCACAAGGAGGGAATCGCCACCACTCTCCCTGTCAAGCTGAGGCCCGAATGCATGTGAAGTGCTTAGTACCCCGCCAGGTACGAAGCGAGGACTCAACACAAACACAAACGAACAGAAGTGGAGTTTCTTAGTCACTGTACAAATGCCTTAGGGCAGCGGTGGATCAACAGGGGCAGTTAGGGGTGGGGGGTGGAGGGGAGGGAACCGCGCTTAAATCATTCAATCGGTGGGAAGGGGGCCTCTGCGGGGCCACTGCTCAGACTTTGGGCCGAGGCCCGGGTGGAGGGCCGAGCTCGGAGGTGCTGCTCCTGTGCGCCGGCAGCACCGCCGGGTGCATGCGAACGGAGCCTCCGGGGCCGTCCTCGGGCCAAGCGCACCAGACGCGTGGGTTCCTCCGCTCCCGGCCCCTGATGTCCGCGAGCCCCGGACCGCAGCCGGTCCCGGGCAGGGCGGCCTGGTCCTGCTCGCCGCTCGGGCCTCGCGGTGTCGGGGGAGAAAAATAGCGGGCGTCGGCCATGCGCCTGACACGCCTCGAAAATAATGAAGAAGCGCGAGGCACGCGCGGTTCCGGACTC